CGGTGCCGCCCGAGGCGCGCAGGTCGAGGCGCGCAGGCTCGACGTCGAGGGGGAGGGGAGGGGCGTCGGGACGCCCGGGGGGGCGGGCAGGGGCAGCGAGAGGGAGCGGCAGGAGCAGGAGGAGGCTCGGGAGGACGAGGATGATGCTGGTGGTGAGAGTGGTGATGAGGATGAGGATGAGGATGAGGATGAGGATGAGGATGATGATGAGGATGAGGATGAGGATGAGGATGAGGATGAGGATGAGGATGAGGATGATGATGATGATGAGGATGAGGATGAGGATGAGGATGAGGATGATGGTGATGGTGATGGTGATGATGATGATGATGATGATGATGAGGATGAGGATGATGATGATGGTGACTATGCCGTTGGTGGTGGTGATGGTGATGGTGATGGTGATGGTGGTGGTGGTGATGATAATGATGATGATGATGATGATGATTATGATGATGATGATGATGATGATGGAGATGATGGTGATTCTGGAGTTAGTGATGACAATGGTGATGCTTATGGCGTTGGTGGTGATGACGGCCATGACGATGGTGGTGATGATAAAGTTGGTGATGCTGCTTATAATGATGCTGCTGTTGATGATGATGCTGCTGATGATTGCTGCTGCTTCTGATCATGATAATGGTGATGATGATGGTGATGATGATGATGACGAGGACGAGGACGATGACGAGGGCGAGGACGACGATGACGATGACGATGACGAGGAAGATGACGGTGATGGTGGTGCCGATGATGGTGGTGGTGATGATGACGATGATGACGACGATGATGATGATGATGATGCTGATGATGTTGATGATGCTGATGATGATGATGGTGATGATGATGATGCTGATGATGATGCTGATGATTATGATGCGGATGATGGTGGTGGTGGTGAGATGAGGAGGAGTCAGGAGGAGGACGAGGAAGATCAGGATGCGGGTGGTGGTGATGATGATGATGATGGTGGTGATGGATGGAGGAGGCTATGGTAATGCTGATGATGATGCTGATTCTGATGCTGACGCTGATATTACTGATGATGATGATTATCATTCTCATTCACTATTGTTCATGATTTCATCTTTTTTAGTGTTACTCATATTTTCACTTTCTTATTCTGAGTATTTTTCTGATGATGGTGGTGCTGATGATGATGATGATGCTGATGATGGTCATGCTGCTGATGATGATACAGAATGATGATGACGACGCTGATTATGATGATAGTGATGATGGTGAAGCTGATGATGATGATGATGATGATGATGATGATGATGATGATGATGATGATGATGATGCTGCTGATGATGATGCTGCTGCTGCTGATGATGACGATGCTGTTGGTGATGATGTTGTAGGTGGTGGTAACGGTAATGATGACGATGGTGGTGGTGATGATGATGATGACGATTATGTTGCTGCTGCTGCTGATGATGCTGATGATGCGGATGATGATGATGATGCTGCTGATGATGACTGATGATGATGCTGATGATGCTGATGCTGATGATGACGATGATGATGATGATGATGATGATGATGATGATGATGATGATGATGATGATGATGATGATGATGATGATGATGATGCTGATGCTGATGCTGATGATGCTGATGATGCGATGATGCTGATGATTCTGATGACGATGATGACGATGATGATGCTGATGATGCTGAGGAGGAGCAGGTGGAGGAGGAGGAGGAGGTGGAGGAGGAGGAGGAGGAGGAGGAGGAGGGAGGAGAGGAGGAGGAGGAGGAGGAGGAGCGGGGAGGTCCTCAGCCCGCCTGGCCGCATGGCTCAGGGGTGGTTAGCCGGGCGCGCCCCCGTGGCCTCGTGGGCCGCCTCCTTTCTTTGCCGGGTCCAGCTCTTCCGGCCGAGGGTAGGCCATGACCTCCGACGTCGCTTCTTGTGTGGCGAAGGGGAGAATGTCCACCCCCCCAAGGCTTGAGCCGCTTCATCCCCTGGACTCGGCCGCGCGCAGAGGGAGGTATGGGTGGGGAGGGGGGAGGGCTCCTTAGAACTTAGAAGCACCCCTGCGTCCAAGGAGCCGCCCCCCTTTCCGCTGCCCCCCTCTGCGCGCCGCCAGACAAACGTCGCCCCCCTCCAGGCTGGAACGGTCCCCCTTGGACTCAGGCTCTTCATCCCGAGTCTTTCTGCTGTCGGTCCCGGGCCCGGTGAGGGCCCTCCAGAGGCCGCAAAGGGCCAGAAGCAGACCGCGTGTTTTCTGCTCTCGCGACGCGAGAGGGGGCTTGGCGGGGGCCGTCGCTTTCCGAGGGCAGCGCCAGCCTGGATACGGGCGAGATTTGCACCCTCACCCACGGCGTCTCGGATTCTCTGGGGAAGGGATGCCGAACACCCGAGACGCACTGGGTGATCCATATCCGCTGCGTCTCGGGACTGCAGGAAGGTGAGTCCGAGCCTCCGAGACGCAGCGGATGTGTGCACAGCTCCTGCCCGCGCTGGAGCTGCCGAACGCCTCGCGGGTTCCGCGCCTCGTTGGAGCTGGGGCGCCACCTGCAGAGAGGCCCTGGCGGCCGCGACAGAGCGCCCGCACGTCAGCACGGGCCATCACGACGCAGAAGAGGACGAGGAGGAGGAGGAGGGGGAGGAGGAGGAGGAGGAGGAGGAGGGGGAGGAGGAGGAGGAGGAGGAGGAGGAGGAGGAGGTCGAGGCCTTCAAGCAAAGGTCCGAACAGACTGTAGATGGGGTCGGAGGATTGCACCGCACCGCGTTTGCATCGATGTGGAGCCCGATCTTCTCCACGCCGACGGCGCCGATGCAACGCCGCCAGCGCCGATGCATCGCCGATGCATCGGCGACGAGGCTCGATCTTCCGACCCCGTCTACTCGGACCCCATGCGGGAGACCTCCATTCAGCGAAGAAGAAGACGACCTGGCCTTGCATCTTCGGAGGTCTGCGACGATCTCTTGGATCGGCGCTGGACCCCTTGGCGGCGCACCGGGCGCCGGCCACGGCGCGCGCTCCTCGCGCCCTGGAGAGGGCTCCGGCGCCCACGAGCAGAGATCCGCGTGGGCCTCCGAAGACCGTGGTTGTGCAGGTGCTTCCCTGCCTGGAGAAGGTGCACAGTGCCGTTTTTTAACACATGCTCCGCGTGCGGATCATGCATTAAAACATGCAGGGATTTAGTAGTAAAAGCAACGATGAGTTCATGCATAAACTTATTCATGCATGAATCGTGTTTTGAAAAACCTTTAAACAAATTCTATGTATTGAAAGCTGCCCCGTAAGCGTGCAGGAGGTGGGGGCGTGATCATCTCTGAGCGGAACGCGAGAGCGGCAAGCGAGGGGAGCGCCGTGGGGGCGGGCGGCAGGGCGAGGATGGCGTGGCCCCCCCTTCGGAGGGCACCAACTATACGCGCCAACACCGGTCCTGGCCAGGCCGATCCTGGGTCCGGGGTCGGTGGAGGTGTACAGTGCCGTTTTTAATGCATACTCCGCGTGCGGATCATGTATTGAAAATGCAGGGATTTAGTATTGAAAACAAAGGTGCGTTCATGCATACATGTATTCATACATTGATCATGTAATACAAATCCTACATTTTAAAAATCCAATGTATTAAAAACTGCCCTGTATACTCGGTGCCTTCCTGCCCCCCCGCTGGGGAGAGGGGGGGGAACATCTCTGGCCGCTCGCTCCAGGAAGGGCGTGCTGCAGTACCTGGAGAGCAACGACGTGCAGATCCGCGTCTTCTTCGCAGGGAACATCACGCGCCACCCGGCGTACCGCCAGTACCTGAAGTCGTTCCCCGGGGCCGACAGGCAGATCTGCTCAGGGGGGGACGAAGTTTCGAGGTTTGCGTCTCGAGGTTTTCGCACAATCTCTCTGGACGCCCGACATGAGCACGGAAAGAATGGGTACAATGCCCAACAGCAGTTCTTGTTCATTTAGAACAGGACTCGCTGTCCGCGCCGCCGCGGCCTGTGTCCATTTGAGACAGAAGGCCGCCTGCCCAACAGCGGCCGCTGTTGGTTTGGGACAACATTTGTTGCTGGGCATTGTACCCATTCTTTCCGTGCCCATTTCGGGCGTCCAAAATCTCGTCAGTTCTCGGCGGCTTTCCAGCCTCGGGGCTGCGTCCGTCAGCTGCGCCTCGCCGAGAGCGTTCCAGGGGTGTCCGGATCCGCATCGCCGTCGTCCCGAGCATTTTGTCTTTGGGTGGAGGGCAAAGGGTGAAGTCTGAAATGCCGTTTCGATGGGTTTTCGAGGCTTGAATCTGCAAAAGGCGAATCGCAAGACGGATTGATCTTCGAGTTGCACTCGCCCATGCGGAGTTCGCCCTGAGCCTTCCACCCTAAGAGCATGCTCAGTCGTCATTGCCAGCGTCGTCACTCTAGACTGCGCATGTCCCACCAGCCCATCCAGGGGCCGCAGGCCAGCGGTTTCCGCTGCGCCCCTCTGGAGGCACGCGCACCCGATGCAGCCGCTGTGCCCAGGGCCCTCCTCCTCCTCCTCCTCCTCCTCCTCTTCCTCCTCCTCCTCCTCCGACTCCTCGTCCTCGCCGTCGCCGTCATCCTCCGCATCGGTGTCGACGTCCGCCTCCTGCTCCTCCTCCTCCTCCTCCTCGTCCTCGTCCTCGCCCGCGCGGCCGCGGGCTGCTTGTGGCGGCCGCGCCAGGCCCCGAAGGCGCGCGGGCCCGGCCGAACAGTGCGATCTAACAGTATGCACTGGAGTTAACTTTAGCATACGCGGGCGGGCGGGAAGAGCGTGAGTTTGTCTTTCGGTGTGGTCGTGCTGCATCATGCAGCGCGTGATTGCGCACGTGCCGCCGCCATGCTGCTGCGTGCAGGTGCACGCGCATGCGTGCAGTTGTTGCGCGATCCCCCGCCAGGGATCGAATCTAGAAGCGTTTCGACATTCGCAGGGGTCGGGCACACAGACGGCCCCACTGCAAATCACAGCCTGAGGGCTCTTGTCGGCTCCATCGTGCTTCGCCGAGAGGTGGGCAGGCCCCGGCAGGCGTGGGCAATAGGACTGATACGCACATGCCGCATATGGCTCTGGACCACTGCAGATTTGGGCACGTCTCCAGCGAGTTTGGAGAGCAGCAGTGCGCAATCACTGTCGAGCGCACGCTCGTCCCATTGCTCATGTACTCACTGGCACGAGACTTACTTCCATTCAGATTCGTACATCGCCCTCTTTACGAGCGCGGCCCAGCGCTATCCCCTCTGACTCCCCTCGCTTCCTCCCCGCCCCGTCCGCTTGCCATCTCTCCCCCTCCTCTCCACCTGCCTTCCGCCCGCCTTCCTTCTAACTCCTTCCTCCTTGTGCCCCCCCCGCCCCCCTGCCGCTTTCCGCCTGCTGTCGTTCGCCGCCCCCCTCTGCCACCTCTTTGTCCCCCTCCCTCCCCGCATCTCCCCTCCCGCCCCGCCCTCGAGTGGAGTCGGACCGAGTTATGAGATCGAGGTCGGTTCGGGGAGGGTGCCCTTGTTCTCTTCGTGTCTGCTGGATGTTCTCGCCCATCCTGGGGAGGGCACCCTTGGACGCTCTGTCAGTGCTGGCCGACGGAGGGTCTCACGTTCCTGAAGGCTCCTCCTCCTCCTCCTCCTCCTCCTCCTCCTCCTCCCTCTTCTCTTCTCTTCTCTTCTCTTCTCTTCTCTTCTCTTCTCTTCTCTTCTCTTCTCTTCTCTTCTCTTCTCTTCTCTTCTCTTCTCTTCTCTTCTCTTCTCTTCTCTTCTCTTCTCTTCTCTTCTCTTCTTCTTCTCTTCTCTTCTCTTCTCTTCTCTTCTCTTCTCTTCTCTTCTCTTCTCTTCTCTTCTCTTCTCTTCTCTTCTCTTCTCTTCTCTTCTCTTCTCTCTCTCTCTCTCTCTCTCTCTTCTCTTCTCTTCTCTTCTTCTCTTCTCTCCTCCTCCTCCTCCTCCTCCTCCTCCTCCTCCTCCGGCTTGCAGCACCGCTCAAGGATGTGCTCTCTGACCGAACCTCCAGGGTAGGCCCGGGCCTCCAGCGGGCGCGCGCCCCGAGCATGGCGCCCCTCCCCCGGCCGCTCCACGCGGCGTCTGGCACGCCCTCGGCTGGCGTCTCTCACGCCCTCGCACGTCGCCCCTCGCGCGGCGCGGGCGGCGGTAGGCGCCGCACTTTTCTCTTCGTCGTCGCGGCGTCCGTCGCGGTGAGCGTCTGCCGCCCTCCGCCCCCCTCCCTGCCAGCGGCGCTCCAGCAGCGCTTCAAAGCCTCGGGGCTTCGGAGGCGGGGGTCCGTGCAGACGGGGGTCGGTCCGGGCGCCGGATCGTGCAGGGCCCTGCAGGGGCCAGGGGCGCATCGGCCCGGGTCTGGGTGCAGGCTCCCGCGGGATCCTGCCAGATCTTGCAGGATCCTGCAGCGTTTGGCTGGACCCCGGTCTGGATTGACCCGGGTCAGCAGGTCCCCCGACCAGCAACGGCTTCAGTGAGTGCCGGTACCCATGGGTGAAGGGGCCCCGGGACACACAAGTGAATACACACAGGTGACAGGCTTCCCAATATTTTTTCCCCTATTTTCGGGGCTTTTTCGTCGTCTCCGCCACTCCCCATCTTGTCCCATACTTTCTGGGTCTTCGTCTTCCCCCCCACTCCCCATCTTTTCCCAGACCTCCTGGGTTTTCGTCTTCCCCCCCCGCTTCCCATATTTTCCCATAGACCTCCTGGGGAAGCGAGGGCTCCTCGCGCCCGCGCGTTTCTTTTTTTTGTTTTTTTCCCTTCCCGGGCGGGGTTGGCCTCCCGAGCGAGCCGCGCGCGCTCCGCGCGCGGGGCCCGGGCGCTCCGTGGGGGGCGCGGTGTGCTGCCTGCCGCGGCGCCGCTCGTGCGGGTCCTCGGTGCCGCCGGGTTGAGCTCCGACGGGCTGCAGCGCCGGCGTGAAGTACAGAAGTAGTCCCAGACCTCCTCGCGTTCTGAAAAAATCACGACGGGAGGTTTTTCGCTATTTTCGGCCTCCGGGGGCCCTCGCCGGGCCTCGGGAGCGTCAAAAAACGACTCAGGATGCAAAGCCGGTCATGGGGAAAGGGTCGGGACCTCTGGGGGTCGACGTAATGAAAAATCATTACGTCGGGGGTCTGGGGTCCAGAAATGCTCTGGGGGCTATGTTTTGGAGTAGTTTTTGGCCATCTTGGAGCATGTTCGAGTATTTTTTAGATATTTCGTCGAAGATCTCCCTGCAGGGGGACACGCCCGACTTAACGCTGGCGCCCGTCCTGTGGAGGACGAGCAGTGGATCGGGGGTGGGCAGATCTCCTGCCCTGACACGTCGGATAGGCCGTTTTCACTGAGGGAGCTCCGACGGGCTGCAGCGCTGGCGTTAAGTCGGGCCTGTCCCTCTGCAGGGGGGAAACTCAAAAACAGTCCAGAAATAGTCTGGGGACTATTTTTTCCGAGTAGTTTTTGGCCATATTGGAACATGTTTGAGCATTTTTTATTTTTCGTCGAAGATCTCCCTGTAGGGGGACACGCCCGACTTAACGCTGGCGCCTGTCTTGTTGAGGACGATCAGTGGATCGGGGGTGGACAGACCTCCTACCCTGACACGTCGAATAGCGAATTGGCCGTTTTCGGTTCGCGAGAGGGCGTCGCGGCCGTCATTATAAACATGTTTGAAACACGTTTCGAGCATGTTTCCGACATTCTAAACACACGTTCAATTCAATGATAGGACTGTTAGGGTGTCCATTGTCGTGGCATCCACAACGCTTGTCGCCAAGTGTCGATTACGTGTAAGAGTGACCCTTCGCCGGGGTGACCTTTGGGTGCGGGCTCATCTGGGTCCCCCCCGATCGCTCAGCGCGATGCGATAGCGGCTGTTGGCGCGCCTGGATTTGGCCACGTTGCGCCCCCTTAGTCCGCGCACCAGAGGTCACTCTTGCCCAGGGTCACTCTTGCGTGTAGTCGACAGTGTCGATCGATCCGCGGCTCACATGTAGACCAAGTTTGGTTTGGATGTGCTGTTTTTTGCAGGCCTGTTCGGTGCTGACAGTGCGCTGGGAGAAGGAGTGACTGTGACAGGCGTTGCTGGACAATATCTGGTTGACTGTTTGAGCGCAAGACTGCTGTCTCGGGTTTGCTTCGGCTCCCCAGGGCTCAGCGGTTGAGTGCACGCCTGGGTGATCTTGCCAGCATTCGTACTTATGCGTGCCTCAAATGTTGAGCCATGCATGTCTCTGTACAAGCTTCCATACGGTGAAACTGCGAATGGCTCATTAACAGAGTTCCTTGTATTGATGGCCATTATTGACAAGAGTAACGGTGCTACTTGAGATAATATATGCGCCCAGACCCGACTAAAAAGCAGGGTTGTGCTTATTAGTTGCAGGACCAGTCCAGGCTCCGCCTGGTCCTAAGGTGATTCGGAACAACCTAGCGAATGGCATGGCTTCGCTTTCAAATTTCGGACCTATCAGCTTCCGACGGTAGGGTATTGGCTTACCGTGGCAATGACGTGTGATGGGGAATTTCGGTTCGATTCCAGATAGGGAGCCTCAGACACGGCTTCCATATCTAAGGGAGGCAGCTGGTGTGCAAATCATTCCATCTTGACGCAGGGAGGTAGTGACAAGAAACAACATACAGGGCTTAATTGTCTTTCTCATTTCCAAATGGAGTAGAATGCGCATTATTTGGCGAGGACCAAGGGGAGGGCAAGTCTGGTGCCAGCAGCTGCGGTAGTTCCAGCTCCACCAGCGTATCTTAAAGCTGTTGCGCTGAAGAAGTTCGTGGTTGGATTTCTGCCGAGGACGACCGGCTTGCCCTCTGGTTGAGTATCGGGCTCGGCCTGGGCATCTTCGTGGAGAACGTAGCCATATTTGATTGTGTGGAACGTAGAGCATTTCAAGCAGGCTTGCGCCTCGTTGGCTTTTAGAGCTGATGTGTTGAGTAATATGGATCGTTTGGGGAATTTGTATGTACATGTCAGAGGTGAAATTCTTGGATTTGCTGACATGGACTCTTGCGAAACCACGTGTCAAGGATGCTTTCATTACGAAGAGGAGGGAATCGACTGCGGTCAGATACCCTCCCAGACTTAACCGTAAACCCTGTCGGCTAGGGACTGGAGGCAGTTAGTCACACGGCTCCTTCAGCACCTCATGAGAATTTGAAGTAGGAGGAGGAGGAGGAGGAGGAGGAGGTGGAGGATGAGGAGGAGGAGGAGGAAGAGGAGGAGAAGGGGGACGGGGAGGAGGAGGAGAGGAGGAGGAGGAGGAGGAAAAGGAGGAGGAGGAGGAGGAGGAGGTATTGGCCCCTGGGGGGATATGGTCAAACTTAAAGGATACGGCGGAAGGGCACCGCCAGCACCTCCGTGTCTTTCCCTGCCCTCCCCACACTCCCTCCCCCGTCGCCCCTTTTCCTCCCGCCGAGCAAGTGGGAGAGCGGGAGAAGCGATGGGGGAGGGAGGGAGGAGGGAGGGAGGGAGGGAGGGAGAAAGAGGAGGAGGAGGCGGAGGGAGCAGGAACAAAACTGGGGGGGAGGGAGGGAGGGAGGGAGGGAGAAAGAGGAGGAGGAGGCGGAGGAGGAGGAGGAGGACCAATGCAAACACAGGGCGCGTCAACGATGTTGCGACACCCCCCTTTCAAAGTTCCCTCTTCATCGGTCTCTGCAACATGTAGAATCTTTGCGGAACATATTCCATGGGAAGACAATCGTCTGAGAATCCACAATCTTGTCAAAACACCAGTTCTGGGACTGCAATGCCGCCAATCAACGCGACTGTTGCGTCCTGACCATTCCAAATCGTGCCAGAACACCGTTCCTGGGATTTCAACACCGCAAATCAACGTGGCTGGTGTCCTGACATTCGTGAAATCATCACATTCCTGGGACGTCAACACTACGAACCCTTGAAACTGTTGCACTCTTTGAAAGCGGATGCGCGCGGTGCTGAGGCGAGAGCCACATTTTGAAAACCACCAGCCCTCCAAGCTTGAATATGTTGCAGGCTTTTGAAACGAATGTGCGCGGCGCTGAGGCGAGAGCCACGTTTTGAAAACGACCCGCCTTTCATCTTTG